AAGTAAAAAAAAAAAAAATAATCTAATTCAAAATATTAACAAAAATCAGTGAACAAAAAAATAAATTTTTTTTTTCTATAAATCACACTGAACAAATTAGTACAAAATTGAAACTTCATAAAAATGGCTTCTCATGAGACAAGACAGTTTCTATTTTGTACACTCTAAAAAATGCTAGGTTAAATTCAACCCAGTGCTGGGTAAAATAGGGACAAACCCAGCAATTGGGCTGTTTTGACCCAGCGGTTGGGTTAAATGTTTAACCCAACCTTCTGGGTAGTAACCCAACCGCTGGGTCAAAACAACCCAATTACTGGGTTTGTCCCTATTTTACCCAGCACTGGGTTGAATTTAACCCAGCATTTTTTAGAGTGTAGGTTTAACAAGACAAATATTTATAAGTACCCCTGTATGGGAATAATATGATTCACCAGCAATAAAAAATAAAACACAACGTTAAAGTCCTTTTATCTATTTTGTTTATTAGAGTTGATTGGCACCAGTGTACCATAACTGAGTTTTCATCTTGCTACATGAATTTTCCAACAATCTGTACCATTCTGCGGCCAATCAGAAGCTGGGAGAAAAAACAAAGAGAAGCAAGAGCAAATGCTTTCATTTGTCCTACTGTATTCACAGACTAGCTGAAATGCTTTGGCACCTTTGCACTTCTCATCAAGAATGCCCAGATTTAGAGTCTCCAAAAGTCTTCATCAGACCACGTCATGCCTGAAATATGAGTTTAAACGCATAGCTTATCAAAGAATGTACTGTTGTTATTTAACACTTGGAGTCTCTCAGTCACATACAGACGGCCTTTGGCTTCTCATACAATACAACGTGAAGCAGATTCACTCCAAATGATCTGATAGGGACGCTGTATACTGGCATCCTATACATGTGCAGCAAAGCTTAAACCAGTTCAGAACTGCAGTACTAGTTACATACTCACATACTCAAGCTGTGGTTTAGTCAAAACTGTGCTGAACTCTAGTAAAGTGCCAAACTATTAAATATGTCTTAAAGTCAAAGACATCAGTTACTATAGCCAAGCTTTATATTCATCGGGGAAAGTCACAAAAAAGTCAAGCAAAATGCACTGCTAAACAACTCTCAGTATGAACCGTTTCATAATTAGTATATTTAAATAGAGCGGTTATTATGTTAGACTCCAGACGCTATTAGTGTTCTGTATGATCAGTCGTTTTAAAGATATTTCTGGAATATTGCATTTCCGATTTTGGTACTGCTTGTAATCCGTAGCCCATTTTTAACTGCAATGCCAATTTGTTGAGTCTAGAAATACAGAGCGCTAATAGTCACCCGAAACACTGGCGTCAGATTCACTCTTTATACAAGACGCTTCAGTTCAGTACAACATGCACCCCCATCCTTAGTCCTCACATAGAAAGAAAGAAGTGAAAAACAATAAATAAAAAATGCTATCAATTTGTGTTGTAAACAAACATAACATGTATTTACAAACAGAAAAGGCAAAATATAAAGTACATTGGAAAAAGCTGCCATGGACTCCTTCAAACCGAACAGCACGGAGTAAGAGGAGTGACGAGTGCTTCACACAAGCAACAATACAGGTCATCGCACACATCTTAGGATCGGGGATAAGAGAAAAACATCTTTTTCATGGGGATAAAGCAGCAGACGCGTCTTTCTCTCTCATAGCAAACACACATTCAGAAAGATAGGACTTGAAATTGAAATAGCTCGCCCCAAAATGAAAATTTGCTGATAATTCACTCACCCTCAAGCCATCCAAGATGTAGAGGAGTTTGTACTGATTTGGAGAAATGTAGCATTGCATCACTTGCTCCTCAGCAGTGAATGGGTGCCGTCAGAACGAGAGTCCAAACAGCTGATAAAAACATCACAATAATCCACAATAACGCTTCCTCCAGTGAAAAAAAAAAGTGCATCTCCTGTTGTCTCTCGCATCAAAATCCAGCCACGTATTTGTTTAGAGATGTTTTGGCTTGTAAACAGTGCAGATTTCTCTCCTGATTCAGACCAGACCACGTTTTCACTGCAGGAAGCGTTATTATGGATTATAGACTCGTATTTTCAACAATTTGAAGTTAAGCAAATCCATCTTTAAGTCGTTTTTGAATTATTGTGATGTTTTTATCAGCTGTTTGGACTCTCGTTCTGACGGCACCCATTCACTGCTGAGGAGCAAGTGATGCAATGCTGCATTTCTCCAAATCTGATGAAAAAACAAACTCATCTACATCTTGAATGGCTGGTGGGTGTGTACATTTTCAGCAAATTATCATATTCAGTCCTTTAATTGCATGATTTTTCCCCCCAATCGAGACAGTTTGCTTGTAGTAGGAAATAGTAAGAGAGCGAATCTCACCAAATCTGTCAAGATCACGAGTCAAATTTCATTCAGAGAAATAAGAAATTTCATTTCATTCCACCAAACACTTGCATGCATTTAGGAGGAACTGTGCTTAGTTATGAAAATAATGCCAAATGATGATAACAATAAATTTAAAAAAACTTGAAAATCTGCCTTTTTCTTTACACAAAAAAATCAGTTTTCTGTGTGCGGTATAATCTGGACATGTTTTCGTGAGATTCGCCCAAGAACAGTTTCGCAGCCCCAGTGGTTGAGTTTTTGAAACACTTGTGTAAGAACATTCAGGGCTGTGGGATTTTTAAGGCTCTTTTCTTAAGGTGAAGGAGCTTATTTAAGGATTCGCATATAATGACGAGCACAGGTGCTTCGATGGGTCAGTGAAGTTCAATACAGTTGTCATCAACTGTGCACAGGAAATGACATCACCGGTGGGGTTATCAATACCAATAACAGTGTAAAATGCATATCCTGTTTCACAGATATGCTGGAAGTGATATGTAACTAATAGGTAAACTGAAGTGAAGTTCATCATGTGGTGTGAATAGCAATGACCTTCATTTATAACATGTAAATACACTCAAACGAGTAAGAGATAAATAGTGTCAGTTTCTATAAAATAAGTTTAAGACAGGCAGCAACATAGACTCAGTAAATCAATAGCGACCGAACTAACAAAAGCCTTCAGCGCTCATCTCTGCTAAAGGTTCGGATAGATCCGCCCCTGATGATGATGATGAAGAAGAATGCATCAGGCTGTTTGGTCGTCTACTCTGTTCGTGTAAGAACTTCACAGTAAAATGCTGTCAATAGCAGGAACTGGAACTGTGAGAGCGGAGGGAGCGTGAGATGAGGATGGAGATTTACACAGATTCATGAATGTTACGTTTGTCAGTGAAGTCCTATGGAATGTCAGCGAGATAAAGTGAGTATCTGTAGTGTGTACTAGTGTGATAGTGAATAACACTGTGTAGTGTGCAAATGTAGGAGAAGTGTGGAGATAAGAGCTGCAGTCCAGACCACCGAAATCCAAACCGAAGATGATGATGATGTTCAGGTTCCCCAACGACATCCATCTCTCCATAAACCAGCATAACAGATCGATCTGACGAGAGCTACCTTAATGAAGGATCATTGGTTTCTCAGAGAATGGAGGGAGCGTATGGATGGACTTTCAGGGCTGCTCTTCTTTCTTCTTTAGATAAATGCGTTTCTTCCTGGCTGCAAGCATCTCGTAGAAGGGGTCCACGCTCACAGCGGATCTGAAACAAAACACAAGATCATCTTAAACCTGCAAAGTCTACTGGATTGTATTCAATACACATTTCTAAGGCCTCATTTGGCTGAAAAACCTGTTTCACACACAATCTACTTCACGCCTTCTGTCAAGTAAAAGCTCTTTTAGTGTAACTGTACAAACGTCCAGCTTCAGCTCGAGCTTCACGTGTCTTTTTGCTGTCAACGACTGATATTTATAGCATTTTATGTCAGTATCTGCTCTACTGTTAATCAGAATTTCAGCATCTGCACCAAATTGCATATTTTTAGGGGTGCGATGATAAATCGATTCATGGATTGATTCGGCGATGTTCGCAAATGCATCACAATTCTCTCTTGAATCGATTCTGAGCCTAGCCAGTGGGCTGTGTTTACATTAATCTCACGTCATAAAAGCATAAAAGCCGAGGTGCAAGTACATTTAACCCCTTACATTACTCAGCCAAACACACAAGCGCTCTTCTTCATTAGTATTTAAGTGTGCGGTTAAAAAGTAGCCTTGACCGCCACCTGCTGTTAAAACCTAAGCTCAGAATCGAAAATCGAATCAGTTTATCGTCGCACCCCTAATATTTTTGCTATTTGCATTTTTCAGACTGTTGTTTTGTATGTCAGCCTCAGCAGGGTTAAACATTATGTCGGGGAGGGACATACAGGAAGGCTTGTGAGCTAAAAATTTACATTTCAAAAGTGTATATCTGCTAAAATAATTTTTGTACCCCGAGGAGTTGTACATCGCTATTCCTATCAGGAAATGCAAATGTACTTCAGTTATGCAAACATTTGTCAGAGGCTGATAAAACTCTGAACTGCAGTAAGTGTGAATACATTTCCTTTACATAAGCCCTTTACTCTTTCACATGCCGTGTCCTGTGAGATCTTCACCAATCCCTCCAGCACTGATGGTTTACTCACTTGATGCTGTGGATCCATTCGTCCTTCTCCTCTGGGGTGGGAGCTGAGATCCGGTACACCATGTGGTTTCCCTCCACCACTCGACCGTCGGCCTCCGTCTTACACGCTTTAATCAGCTGCCCGCGGTTATTAGGGATGTAGAGCTCAAAACAGTTCTGCACAGAAAACACAATCCTATCAACAAGCAGAGCCCACAAACTGTCTCTGATACACTGCCCAGCCCTAAGGGTAAATAAAGAAACCTGCAGTTGATCTATGAAAAGTGTCATGGAAATGTTTAAATGTGATTAGCTGTGTAATGAGAATGTCAACAGTGAGCTACCAAGCAAGTTTGCTTTGTCAGAAAAGCCATTCTTATGGAGCTGGTTATGTAGTGCAAACATCTAAATGTATTGGTTTACAAATCATGTGCTACAGTAAAAGTGTTTTGAGGTCATGGCATAGAATTGTGCAGGGAACCACACAAAATGATTGTTAATAATCTGTCCCCGTAATCATAATATGTGTGAAAATGGAATAACAGTTGTTGCTGTTTTACTGCTTCTTTTTCAGCTAATAGTTGCATTGAATTGTATGTGCTGTATAAGCACAACAAACGTATGAGACACGTATTTCCCTTGAGCCTATGTTGGTCAAACACCTTCTCTGCTCCTTATCCTCCACACACACACACACACACACACACACACACACACACACACACACACAGTCAGTACCAGCTATTATGGGTCAATTCAGTACTTTTAGTACACACACTACCATTCAAACGTTTCACCCAATTCTTCAGCTCACCAAGGCATTTATTTGCCCAAAAATACAGTAAAAATTGTGAAATATTATTACTGCTTAAAATAGCTGTTTTCTATGTGAATAAATATTAAAATGTAATTTATTTCTGTGATGCGCAGCTGTATTTTCAGCATCATTCCTCCAGTCTTCAGTGTCACATGATCTTCAGAAATCATTCTAATATGCTGATTTGCTGCTCAAGAAACATTTCTGATTATCATCAATGTTGAAAACAGTTGTGCTGCACAATATTTGTGTGCAAACTGTGATACATTTTATTTTTCAGGATTCACAGATGAACAGAAAGTTCAAAAGAACAGCATTTATTTGAAATAGAAATCTTTTGTAACATTAATATAAATTTCTTTACTTTCGTCACTTTTGATCAATTTAATGCACCCTTGATGAATAAAAGTACTGATTTGTTTTAAAAAAGAGCCCTATCTTATGAACAGTAGTCTATATAAGCCATAATATGCAGTACAAACAATTATTACACGGCTCTCTAGATTACTTGATTCTGATTGGTCATTTACAGCATTCTTTGGTCAAATAATTTTGCACAGTAATGCTAAACTGCATAATTGACTGTTGTCCTGAGCCAGCGATTTCCTAAATAGTTGTGCTTCTATCAAGTCTCTTATATTACAATACAATAAATTGACGTCCATTTATTTATTCTGTTTCACGTAAGGGTCCTAATTTTGATATGGCAAGTGTCATGACTCATTATCTTGCTTAATAAATAACTATCAAAAAAAAAAACCAATTTGTTATATAAAGTCATTATACAATATATTTGATAAAAATACATGTCAGAGAGCTGCACAATAAGATGAAATATGGCTCGACTTACTGTTGTGTACTCAAAGTAATAGAGGCAGTTATCAGTCAGAATGAACCATCGTCTCTTCCATGTTTTCACACGACCTCCTGAGAAAGATTATACGGATTAGAGGTGTAAAACACACAAGAAATTAATAATTTCCTCTGTGCTAATAAACTACACAGACACAGCAAGAGACATCTAGTAGAGTATACTGCCTTGACAAACCCAACTAAACTAAATTAACTAGATTTCTAGGCCTGATGGGTGATGTTGGTCGGGTTTGCCAGTCCAAAACTCTTCATCACGATGCTAGTGAGTTGTGATTGCCTGGTTAGTTGCTGTTGTTTACTGGTAAGAGTTAAAAGAGCTCATCTCCAGGACTCTGTGAGCATATGTGAGAGACAGATCACTCTGCAGGAGAAAACGGTGCATCTAATCAGTAGTGATGGGAAAAACAAAGTTTTTCGAATCTTTTGAATCAATTGCTTTGTAAAATGATTCACCGTTTTGATGCATATGCTTTTATTTATCAGAACGGTGCATAAACTCATGCATAAAAACATCTTTTAGAAACCAATTGCAGATGGATGGAAAGTGTAATATATTAAATGCAATTAACAAATCATCATTAATTATGAAGTGTCTGTATAACATGTTTTATTAATCTGTGGCGCTCGTATTGTTTGTTTTATGGAGAGCTTGGTTAATCAGGCCAATAAGAGAATCATTTTATTATACAAACATGTCATTAAAATATCTATGCATTTATAAAACCATGTGTATGGTAAAAACGACATAGACAATGGTTCATGTGTACGTACCTCCTGAAGGGTGCATCAGCAGAGAAATCACAGGCCAAGCAGAGCAGGAGCCAGAAGAGATGGGGAAAAGGGAACGCGTGACGGATCGCAGGAAACAGAAAGACAGAGATACAAGGAGAGGGAAGAAGATTTAAAAGCTTTTAGTGCTTGAGAGATCACAGAGCTCACCATGCAGAAAGACAGCAAATCTCTGAAAGTGCCAAACACTTCAGAAGTGAGTTTTTTTGTTGTTGTTTTTTTAGGAAAGTAGAGCAAAGCGCAGCAATGAAATAACAGGAAATCATGCATCGGCAATGACAGAGACCCTGCCAACAACTTCGGTTAAACAGAAACGTACGTCAGGAGGGACTCACCCAGTTTGAGGAGCCAGCCTTCTCTGTCAGGGTTGAAGAAAGTGTGCGTCAGGTCATTCCCATCATCCTCTGGGATCTTAAAGGGCTCGTTCTTGATGCTGTCATACAGATTCTGAAGAAAACACACACAGTGTTTATTGAAGCATTAAATGTGTAGTGCTATTATTTAAAAAAAAAAACTTCAAACATTCAACTCGCAGTGATTTGGAGCAACACAGAGACCTGAATTGACTATTTTTTCCCTAAATTCCAATTAATTTTTTCTAAATTCCACATTTGCCTTTTCATTTTTTTTTCTTCAGATTTTTCAATTTTCTGGATTCCATTTTAATTGTTAATTTAAATATGTGTCCCTGCAGCACAAAAGCAGTGTTAAGTCGCTGGGGTATATTTGTAGCAATAGCCAAAAATACATTGTATGGGTCAAAATTATAGATTTTTCTTATGCCAAAAATCATTAGGATATTAAGTAAAGATCATGTTCCATGAAGATATTTTCCTACTGTAAATATATCAAAACTTAATTTTTGATTAGTAATATGCATTGCTGAGAACTTCATTTGGACAACTTTAAAGGCTGTTTTCTCAATATTTTGATTTTTTTTGCACTCTCAGATTCCAGATTTTCAAATAGTTGTATCTCAACCAAATATTGTCCTATCATAACAAACCATAAAAAATGGAAAGCTTATTTATTCAGCTTTCAGTTGATGTATAAATCTCAATTTAAAAAAATTGACCCTTTTGACTGGTTTTGTGGACCACTGAAATCATGAAACTTATACAACAACAATTTATGAAGTTTAAGACTTTTTTTGTTTCTGTTTTAAAGATTTGATTAAATTGTAACAAATCAATTGAATTTCATAAAACTTTCACAATGCAATAATTTATTACAAAATGTTTACAATAATAGGGCCCTATGGAATGTTTACATTTTTTTTACAGAAATTGTGTTTTATGTTGAAATTAAGGCATAAAAAATGTATAGAATTAACATTTTTAAAATTTAATTCCTTTTACTTTTTCGCAAAGAAAGTCCTACACAACAATTTACGGTTACAATTAAAACATGGAAGAAACATTGTGTGTCGTGTCTTAAAAAGTTTTAATAATTGAATTATTATTATTACTTTGAGAAGTACATTCAAACAGAGCATGGCACAGAGACACGCAGACTTCATAGAGCAGTCTTTCTGCACTTTAATATTCCCAGACACTAGTCCATATCATGATTTAATTAACTGCATACACCTACTTTTGATTTATTCATGCAAAATATGCCAAATTCATTCCGCGATGTATTTTAAATGTTATTTTTATGACTGGATTCCATGATTCCCTCTGTGTTTTTTTGCATCGCAGGAGTCATTAATGTTCATTATTTTAACATTGAAAAAATGTACACAGTTCGGTAGAGCACACTCACTCGGAGCAGCTCCTCGGGTAAATCTCCTCCGTCGTTGATGCCTCTGTTCATGCTGATGAAGCGCTCCACCGTGGGCTTGTCCCGCACATTAGGGTTGTGCAGACTGGTGTTCAACATGATGATGGAAAACGACAGCACGTAACAGGTGTCTGCGAGGAGAACACCGAGTTTACAAACGCTCTAGCAATCAAACACTCCTGAAGTAGCAACAGGTTTGTGCTCGAACTGTTCTTAGTGTGAGAGTGTGCATGAATTACACAAGCAGTCAAACCAGACACACCTACACAATTATGACTACATGCTGTGCATATTCGAATAATAGTAAAGGCATCAAAATAACTATGAAATAACACAAATGGGAAGCATGCAAATCTGCTGGTGGGCATGCTAGATGAAAGCCTCAGCCGCTGCTGTGTGTTTGTGTGACCTGTGCTCTGGAAGACTCCAGGATTGCAGTGACAGTATCTCTGTGCAAAGGCCTCCATCATCCTGTCGATCTTCTGCGCCTCGCCGGGCAAGCGGAAGCTCCACAGGAACTGCCTGCAGAAACACTAATGCATCAGGAACACAAGCACTGCACTAAACCTTTAAGAACAATTACAAAAACAACCAGACTTTCTGTGCATAAAAACAAAGCAAACCAAACAAGCAAGAGCTCTCTAGAACATTTGCCGACTTACCGAAGTGCTTGTACCAAGTTCAGATCCGTGAATTCGTGAAGATCGACAAAAGCCTGCAACACTTTGATATTGAAGTCATCTCTGAAAGAGAGCGAGAGGAATACTTTAAGGACATATCTGTTTTAATATGTTTGGTTCTGACTAACCATAAGCAGCAGGGATCGACTAGCATACAATCAACTACACGTCTGGTGAGATTGAGTCAAGTAGAGCGCTTTTCACAGTGTTTCAAAGCAGCTTTATAGAAAAGCATGATGTTAATGTTTCTAATATGTGACCCTGGAGCACAAAACCAGTCATAAGGGTCAATTTTTTGAAATTGAGATTTATGCATCATCTGAAGGCTGAATAAATAAGCTTTCATTGATGTATGGTTTGTTAGGATAGGACAATATTTGGCTGAGATACAACTATTTGAAAATCTGGAATCTGAGGGTGCAAAAAAATCAAAATATTGAGAAAATCATCTTTAAAGTTGTCCAAATGAAGTTCTTAGCAATGCATATTACTAATCAAAAATTAAGTTTTGATATATTTACAGTAGGAAATTTACAAAATATCTTCATGGAACATGATCTTTACTTAATATCCTAATGATTTTTGGCATAAAAGAAAAATGTATAATTTTGACCCATACAATGTATTGTTGGCTATTGCTACAAATATACCCCAGCGACTTAAGACTGCTTTTGTGCTCCAGGGTCACATATCTTCATGGCTTATTGTTTCATCCAGCAGATGAGAGCTGGGCAATAATATAGTTTGCATTTTGCAATGATTTTTAGTGCTAGGCGTGCTGTTCTTCAGCTGTTAAGACAATTTGAAGGGTAAAAACACATAACAAATCCTTGATAACTGTAGCATGTAACTGTAACAGATATTAATTCACAGTACCTTTCACCCAGATAGTCTCCTATTGCTGTTTTATTGAGTCCTTCTCCTTTATACAGAAACTGAGCAATGTCCTCTGAAGTGTGTCTGAGGAGCTCATTCTCCACTAGGAATACAATGCCCTGTGAAACAGAGGGAAATATGGAGAAAAAATTAAACAACAACAAGATTTAATGTGAAAAACAAAACATCTTATGCTCCTGCCATTTGTGACCCTGGACCACAAAACCAGTCATAAGGGTAAATTTTTTGAAATTGAGATGTATACATCATCTGAAAGCTGAATAAATAAGCTTTCCATTGATGTATGGTTTGTTAGGATAGGACAATATTTGGTCGAGATACAACTATTTGAAAATCTGGAATCTGAGGGTGCAAAAAAATCTAAATATTGAGAAAATCATCTTTAAAGTTGTCCAAATGAAGTTCTTAGCAATGCATATTACTAATCAAAAATTAAGTTTTGATATATTTACGGTAGGAAATTTACAAAATATCTTCATGGAACATGATCTTTACTTAATATCCTAATGATTTTTGGCATAAAAGAAAAATCTATAATTTTGACCCATACAATGTATTGTTGGTTATTGCTACAAATATACCCCAGCGACTTAAGACTGCTTTTGTGCTCCGGGGTCACATTTAATATGATACAAATATTTTATATTTTTATGTGTGTCAGAGAAACCTATATGTTTTTGATTAAATGTTAATAAAATAAATTAATACTTTTATTTAACAATGACAACATTTGTTGCATAGAGTTCCATTTCAAATAAATGTTTAATTTTTTATTTTTTACTTTCTAGTCACCAGAGGATCACGGAAATAAAAAGTATCACAGTTTCCACACAAATATTGTGCAGCACAACTGTTTTCAACATTGGTAATAATCAGAAATGTTTCTTGAGCAGCAAATCAGCATATTAGAATGATTTCTGAAGATCATGTGACACTGAAGACTGGAGGAATGATGCTGAAAATATAGCTTTGATCACAGAAATAAATTACAGTTTAACAAGATATTCACATAGAAAACAGCTGTTTTAAACCTTAATAATATTTCACAGCCTTACTGTTTTTACTGTATTTTTGGGAAAATAAATGCAGCCTCGGTGAGCAGAAAAGACTTTCAAAAACATTAACCAAACTTCTAAACGATAGTGTATATTAGGGCTGCACGATAAATCGCATGCGATATTTAACGCGCATCTTGTCAGTAAAGCCGGTTCTGTAATCAGCTGTAAATCTCAGCGGGCTTTCACATTGAGCAGCATTAACTACACAGAGCCGTTGTTCACTGACGAGCTGCGCAAAACATCGTGCGAATATGATCGTGGTTGCAGGCAGCTCGTCAGTGAACATTGCTGCTCAATGTGAAAGCCCGCTGAGATTTACCGCTGATTACAGAACCGGCTTTACTGATAAGATGCGCATTAAATATCGCATGCGATTTATCGTGCAGCCCTAGTGTATATGTGTGTATATATATTAAAATGTAACCATGTGATATTATTGCTGGTAAACAATGGCATACTTTTTTTTTCAAAGCAGGGTGGTTTACCTTTTTCGGGTCCATGTTGAATTTTTTCCTGCCCATGGCCACATGTCGACTCTTCTGTAATGTTTTACTACAAAAAACAGAGAGGAGATCAATCTTGTTTTCACGTTTCAGGTGTGAAATACAAGGACTCGCTTTGAGTGTCCTACAGCATAGAGAGTTCAAGTTCATGTCAATGACCGTACTGTGTACACAGCTACTGAGAGATAACGTGTGTGTGTGTGTGTGAGTGAGAGAGTGTGTGTGTGTGTGTGTGTGTGTGAGAGGTACTTGCGTGTTGTTTGAGAGTGTGAGTGAGTGTGTGTGTGCGTGAGTGTGAGAGAGAGTGTGTGTGTGTGCGTGAGAGTGTGTGTGTGTGTGTGAGAGAGAGCGTGTGAGTGTGTGTGAGTGTAAGTGTGTGTGAGTGTGTGTGTGTGTGTGTGTGTTTATGTGAGTGTTATCTATCAGAGAAGGCAAATTGGAGAATGAAATAAAGCAAACACTGGAGCAATTCTGGCATAAACCAGCAGCACAAACCGGTTCCCATCAATAAAACAGGCTCATGTGAGACTAACCTGCCCTCTGTGCTGCTCTCCAGCCCCTCCACCTCAATAATGGCTTCTCTCAGCTCCTCTTTCAGTCGCTGGATCTCCAGAAACAGCGCTCCTTTCCTGCGCCGGATCTCCTCCAGCTCGGAGCGCTCCTCTGGGCTCAGGTCCGCTGGGACTGTGGAGAGACAGAAAGGGGGGCGAAATGAGGACACGGGGTCCTGGATAGGCATTTCAGTTCTCTTCCTATTCACTATACATCCAGGCCTCGTTCACACCAATCCACACAGTTTCCCACGTTAACAGTCTCTCGTTTTCCTGCTCTAGTGGACATTCTGTAATTGCTGGCCTGTGTCTAATATCATTCACTTTATGATGCGAGATGGAAATGCAAACAGGATTGGGGCCAGCACACATGCGCAGGGACTGTTTAGTTTGCATTCAGGTTATCTGTGGACTAACGGAGGACTCTTACGACACCAGCTGGAGGGTTTAAAGAGAGCAAGCCAGGACAGAACAGAGCCAAACCCACGGCAGCTCAGAAAGCAGCGCCTGCAGGCAGAGACACATACTCTGACACTCCCCGCAAAACACATTTCACAAGCTTCAGATCAAATCCTCAAGCTAATCGCTTAAAATAAAAAACGTGATACTATTAGCTTCTGCTTTTTGAACAGAGTCGGTGAAAAGTGCGAGATCACTGGTGAAATGCTTCTACTTTGCATTTTTCTACTTAATACAATTTGTTTCCATTGCACTTCAAAATATCAGCATGACAATTGTATGTTAAATTTGGACATTTGAACCAAAAATAGCAACCCACAACAATCCCCTTTCCCCAAACTCCACCCTGTTTCAAGTATTTTAATTAAAATAGGAACAAAAAAGCCATAATTTATTCTAAACAGCAGTTGCAAAATTTTTTAAAACAAAAGCTAATGATTTTTAAAAAATCTGGCAACTCACATAAATGTCAGTTTTGTCATTTAATCTGTCATTTAAACCTATTTTTGTTTCGTCTGCAAATCCTCATTTTGTACAAATTCTTAAAATATCTTTTTTTTTCTTTTGGTTTAAAATAATATTAAAAAATAATAACATGAATCTGTAAATGTCTCAAAATGTGGGGTTTGTCTCGATTTTAAATTTGGACATCTGAATTATCTTGTAAATCCCAAAATACCATCAATCTCTTACCTCACTTCACGTATTTTCATTAAAAAAATAAAAATTTTAAAATGTATTCTAAAACAGCAGTTACAAAAATATTTTATAATACATAGGCTAACAATTACAAAAAATTCTGCAAATTCAGATGATTCAGGTCATTTCATCTGTCATATTTTGTTAAATCTGCAAATTCTAAATTTGTACACAGATGCTTTATTTATTTATTTTTTGTCTTGGAGCTTTATGAACAAACCCTGATGATGATGTTCACCAGCAGCATCATTTGAGTCAAAAATCAGGCTGTGAATTAATGCATACTACTCTTGCAAAAATCATCCCATTCACACCAAACTTTTTCAACATGATGCCAAGATACCGAGCGGATTTTGGATATATTGAACGGTGTTGCAATAGTGATTTATTAAAGTAACAGTAAAAAAAATAGACCTCACAGATCAATGACACTTATCTACTAACATCTGATTAGTCACAAACAAACAGAAATGACCAAAATGTTTCTTAGCTGATAAAATCCCAGGTTTGTAATGTGGTCTCAGACTTGTATACTGTATGTCACTATACACAGGCCTCCAGCTAATCTTCAAGATCTTCCAGTAAGGCATGAAGAATGCAGACTGATGATGACAAGACAGATGACAAGCACAATTAAGTTGGATCCTATACTAAAAATGAGACAAGGCTGCATCTGTTTAAGACACTGAAACATCCACCCAAAACATGTGTGATGAACAGCTGTAAAATATTACATAATGTCTCTAAGAAACTACGAATCACAGATTAATTTATTCAGTCTCTGATCAAACCTAGCAGACACATTACAGATGTAAACACCTGAGGCAGGCCAGGCGTGAATGAATCCTGCTGAAGAGCTGAATGATGAACTGTAGCTGCAGAAACGATTAGAAACGGCTGACAGTAGAGTTTAAACCTTTACAAGAACCCTAGCATCCTTCTACATGAAGCTCGAGTGAATAAGCCAACAGTCAGTCGCGATGCGGCACTAAAACACAGCGCTAAACCAGCTTTACTTACTGTAGTCCAGATCATCCATTTTGGGGGCTTTGCTTTTAGGCATATATGTGTCGGAATCGAATGTCATTCAATAACCGAGAGATAAGGATATATAAAAATATACCCCACAAACGAAAAGGAAATAAATAAATAACTAGGCGGAGGACCGAAAGGACTCAGACAAAGGAGGAGTTGAGAGCGGAAGTTGCGTCAGCCAGTAAAATTCACGACCCGGAACGGCGGCCATCTTGGTAAGGGCTTTAATTCGTGAACAAATTCATGTATTTGTGAATATTATGCAAAAATGCTATTTATTATATACCAGTACTTACTCAGTACGCAGTGTTGTAACACTTTTCCCTTTAACGTCTGTATCTCAGTGACGATGCTGTTAAAACCAACTGAGGCATCAGTAGGAATGATGGGAACATTTGTTTAAATTTGAACATAAAAAAAAACACAACAAGTACTATTATTCAAAAAGGTAGAAAATAGTAAACACACCCTGGCCACCCCTACTTAGATCAGCTAGTAGGCCTGCTTATTGAGAAACAACACAAAAGCAGGGTTTAAACAGATGACTAGCTGTATTACAAGAGTGGTTAGTCATCAATAGTTTAGAGAATGCAATGCAACAAACTGTCCTAAAATAATAAAGATTGTCAGGTATATAATTAGGTCATCACCTATAACATTCTGTGGGTGGATTATATTTGGTGATTTGTCTTTGTGTGTTTCTTAATATGAGCCAGAGGAGGACGAACAATTCAGGCTTTCTTTCTCATCTTTACATCTTAGGAAGTTTTTACGGGCCATTATTGCCATTGGATCGCTCACTTGGGTTTTTGGCCTCTCTAAAGCAAATTTTGGAGAATATGTAGAATAAAACTAGCTATATCAAGAGCCTGATTTATGGAAATGAACATTCCTGTCACATTTGCTGAAATGCGTAGTTATGCAGCACTTTGTCTTGATAACAATAAATAATTTCACACATGCCTATCAAAATTTCACATTCTGACCAACTGTATGATGGTTTATGGGTTTCAGTGAGTTCATGTGACAGGCTTATATTAGCCAAATAGATGTTTCAAAGAAATTACCACAACACAGCTTCGTTCTGAGAGAACAAAATGTATTTATGTATTTATTTATTTGTTTCCAAACTTACTAAAGTCTTGTAAAAAAAAAAGAAAAAAAAAAAAAGGACCAATATAGGATTGGCAAGGCTTTTATTGAGCATCATGTCTTAAAATCATAAATATTTTCCAATTCTTAAAAAAAAACAAAAAAACACATGATCTCAGACTTCAGCAACAGTTCAATACGATAATAAAAACACTACATATCAAGTAATAACGTTGAAATAACAAAAATATCATAACTGACAAGTTACACTGTAACTATAAGTCAGTGGCAGATATTACAGAAGATTATGAAGCTTGTTTTGTCATCATGTAACAGTACTATGAACTATATGAGAACCAAAAGGAAAAATATTTGTTGAAACAATACAGTAGCTGGAATTTGGGTTCTATGTAAATGTTAAAAATAAAGGCGTCATGAAAAAATGTGTGGTCATACATCTGTGTATTATTCAGCCTGGTTCACTAACACCTTAGTGTTTTACTCTGAATCTATCAGAATAATGATTGCTTTTATTTAGGGCACTTGGTATTACAGGGATCTCCTGACTGGAAAAGTCTATAGACACTAACCAAAGGGAACATAGACAGGGCACCTAACATAGAGCCCAGCTGCACAACAGCTCCACACCACACGAGGGCGCTGTGGCCTTCATCTCGCAGGATCACTCCAATAATCACCTTCACATAGGACAAAGTGAGGACAAATATGACCCAGGTTATGACCTAAGGATGAAGGGAGAAAGAGAAAACAGAGATTATGTGAGTTTTGTTGCCCTCGCATTGCATTTGTGCTGAAGTATGTGGTACCATGCATTGTATGTAGTATATATACTGATTTTTTTCACAAATGTAGTAAGAGTTGTAATCTACACTGTTAAAAATAAAGGTTCCAAACAGTGGCTTTTGCAGTGATGCCATAGAAGAACCATTTTTAGAAGAACCTTTCAGTAAAACATTCTTAAAAGAACCATTTGTTTTTCTTAGCGTGCAGAACATTTTAGTGATCTAAATAACCTTTTTCCACTATAAAGGACCTTTTATGCAATGGAAAGTTTCCATGGATGTTAAAGGTTCTTTGTTGATCTGCTGATGCTAATAAAGAACCTTTATTCTTAAGAGTTTACAATGCTATGCTCTTTTGGATTCCTTAAAACAAGGTAACAGTGCCAATAAATGTACTTTACAGTCACATTTACAGGTCTAAATTATAACTATGACAAGGGGAAAGCATGTGTGTGAGTCTTACGATGAGTGCTGCTCCTAGGTCATGATTGATCAGCAAAGGACAAGGGCTTAGTGCTGCCATGGCCATTATATATGCTCCAAACCCTGTTCCAGTCACTGCTAGAACCCCCATCAGCACCAGAGACCTTGGACATTATTAAAGAGAGTTAGCATGTCAGCCAATCAAATGGAATTCAGAAATGGAATAGTTGCATGAATTTGTCTAATAATTGTTCTCACCTGATTGGTACAAACATGGCAATGAAACAAGCCACTGGATTGGCTACTGAAGACAAAGTGGCTGCAAGATGATAGGCCTGATTTCCATACGGCAAACAGGAGTAAGACTGGACAGAGGGCAGGACTGCATTGGTCAATGCATTGACCCAGGCCAGAACTACAAAAATGAAGACTAGCTCTATTCTGCTGCAGGTTCCTTTTCCAAATGAACTGCGTCGTTTTATCACCAGGCCTTCTGGGAAATCCAACATGGGCCTTTGCTCTGGAGTTTCGCTGTTTGGGGATTGGCTTATGTCAATCTTCTCCACCCGCTGAGAATCATCAATATAGCCTTTGCTCTTGTGTTCCCGCGCCACAGCTGGGTGGAAGTTGAGTAACAAGAAAGCGCCCAGGCACACCATCATCATCGCACTGAGGAACAGGAAGAAACCCTGAGCGGAGAAGTTTGCCGGCTGGTAGTGTGCCTGCAGTTCTCCATCGAAGCCCCATGATGAGTTCCCCATGCTAAAGTTTGCCGGCTGGTAGTGTGCCTGCAGTTCTCCATCGAAGCCCCAGGAGGAGTTCCCCATGCTAAAGTTCACATTAGCACTGGCATTTTTGCAGTGGACCACCCCTACACCTTGGATAAGAGCCACCAATGCTGGGACCAGACCGCTTAGACCCTCTCCAATGAAGTAGGTGGTGAGGTACCGAGGCTGTAGACGCATCATGAAGGGTAGAAATGTGACGGATGAGGTGCAGTCCACCACAGACAGCAGGAAGCTGAGGGACAGTAAGGCAGCACTGTGTTCACCTCCTCCAAAAGTAAGCGTGCGGTTCCAGAGGAACGCCAGGAGGAAGGTGGCCACCACACCAACCGTTACGATCGTGTAGATAACGGGCCGCTCGTCCAGCACGCCCGGTCTGAAGCGGTGCATGAGCGTGATGAAGAGAGGCCCGATGTTGGCCATCTGGATAATGATTGTAAGGTAGGAGGGCAGGTGCCAACCCTCAGGAATGGAGGGGACGATCAGAGGTAGCTCCACCCACATCCCGTTAATGGCCACCCATGATCCGATGCCAAAGAGGCAGGCCAACACGTGTGTGAACAGCGACATGATGAAGGCACTGAGGTCCACACGACAAAAAGGCAACTGGTTTTTAAAGGTAATCTGAAAGACGGAAGTACAGGGAAACTAATTAGTTTTACAATAGCCCCTCCATTTCTTTGATTTAAAAGCACTGTTTTGCTTATCACTTAAACTTAAATACATTTGATATAATGAAGCAGTATCAATACTACTTTAACACTGTACTGTGCATAACAGAAAAGAGAATATTCAAGGATAGAAGCTGAGCAGCCTCAAATTTCAGATTTCGTGATGTGAAATGTGAGTAGTGCTCAATGCCACAATGGTTTCCAAGGTGTTTCTAAGTGGTTGCTAGGGTGTTTTGAGTGGTTGTTAGTGTGTTGCTATGCAATAGGATTTTTTGGGTGGTTGTAGGTTGCTTACTGGACCAAGTCAAAATCTCTGTGATCTTCTGGTCCCTCCATTAGTGTAAATCTGTTTTTTTATTCATCTTGTCGTGGAAATTCCCAATACTAATCTGACTTCTCCACAGACAATTCAAACAACTACCAGTTGTTAATATAATAACTACAGTATCTCGAGCTAATTCCCTGAATTCCCCGAATACTTACAATACAATACAATACTTCCCTGAAGTATGGTGATGGCATCCCGTCAAGAAGCTACTATCACTACCTCAATCATGAGCACACAGGTCTTTAGCATCTATACACTCTCACCGTCCTTCTCAGCAGTACGCTGGTCTAATTAATCGATTCAGAATCGCAATTAATGTCAGCTAATTTTAATTAATTTACACAAACGGCAGAAAGCCATTCAGTTTTAAAAATCACGTAAACATAATTGGCATATAATTTACTCCAGTATGCACATGGTTCATTCGGTCAACAGCTTCCTCCACAATGTAATTTCTCAGAGATGCTGCTCTAACGAACATGTCATCTTCACTATTTATGTTTCCTATAGTTTTGCTTTATCTGATGTTTGATTCATTGCAGGATCCCTCTTACATCATACTCTGGGGTTCCCTTATGCATTTATGCACATGCGCACTCTTTATAAACAGCTTATATGCTAAAATGTATGGATTGAAATGTATTTAAAGGGGTGGTTGATTGCGATTTCACTTTTTTAACGTTAGTTAGTGTGTAATGTTGCTGTTTGAGCATAAACAATATCTGCAGAAGCTGAAAGTTCAATGCAAACGGTGATATCTTCTTTTAAAATTCTGGCAGTTTAATGCCTACAAAAA